GCATGACGCGGCAAGACTATGCTCCCGAATATGAGAGGCATGTCACGACCCTGGATGATTGCATGGTCGATGTGCACTGATGGTCAATTTTATTCAAGGAGAGGCACTCCTTGAACTTCTGCTCCGAAGCCCTGCCAGCTTGCGCCCAAAAAGACTGAACAAATCTAATTTCTGCAGCGCCTCGTCGATTACTACATCTGCATGCAGTGATTACGAGATCTCTCGCAAACATGCAGCGCAGGTAAACAATTAGTTCGCCCCATGCCGCACGCCTGATGACGAGTTCCCGGAAGGCTCTTCGCTCCAGGCACCAAACCTCAGAGTCCTGACGTATGGTGTCTGCAGATGTCATTCGTGGCATTCGGTGATCCCATCGCCGTCCTCGCTGGCTCTGATGGTCGCTGACCGTGGAGCCTCGCTCAAGTTCGTGGAAGAGCCAACACTCACACTCAGACTCGACCACGCGGTGGACCGAATGGCCGAGGTCCGGGCATTGTAGAGCAAGGCAGCCTCCCCGAACGCAAAGCCGGGCCCTGCTTCAAAGACCTAGGGCAACGGAGCGTACGATTCCACGCCCACACCGCCCGAGTCCTTTGGACTCTTGGCCCAGGTGCGGCACTTTGACGAATTCTGCTGAACTTTCCGTCTCGGCTTCAGCCTGTGCAGCGATCAAACGCTGGCTGTGCCAAGGCTGCCAGCATTGCAAGTTCGGTGCACCCGAAACGTGCCAACACTTTGGCTGCTGCGAGCTGGCTCGTGCGTCCATGTGCCCGCATCGGAAATAGTTGGTGTCCATGTGGTCAAGCCGGCTAGCCGACAATTGCAGAACATTGAGCTACACTCCCCGCAGCATCCCACAGCTCGTTCGCCATTGACATGACAAAGCTTTACACCTGTAATCGCACGCCTGCTGAAGGCGGCGGTGCGCAAAGATGTCGAACTTGCCAAGTTTGACCTAAGCTGCAAGCGCCTGTACTCCTGCCATGCTAGAGGGCCAACAACTAAAACTTGGAGACGTCGAATAATCATGCGAGACGACGATGTAGAAGTTGTCTCCGACATCACCAAACCTCCGCAGAGCTCAATCATGTCAAAAGCAGAGGTGTTCATGCTGTCCAAAGCTCGAGCACCTGATGATGGTCTCCCCCTGTCCCACCGACTTCTTGAACATGGCCTCATTCGGTTGATCAAACACAGGGAAGCGAGACATATGTAGCTACACATCTCTATCGTGCACTGAAAACAGTACTTTAGCAGTTTGCATTCCACCCGGCAAGACCTTCAAACGAGTTGGTGCCGAGCATTCCCACCCAACTGCATGGAGCGATCGTCACAACCATCCAATGATAATGTTGAGGTCTTAAAACAAGCAGAAGACTGGACTGAAGTGGATAGGGTCTGTCTTGAAACCCAGGTATCAATGTGAAGCAGATGATGCATGACAGCAAACGGCAATGTGGACACCCTCAGCTGTCCCTGGCGCCTCGACGACACGCTCGAGACCTTTTGGAGAAAGGTTCCCAAACCTCAAATGCCAGCACATCTTTAAATGCTTCTTCAAGTACTCTGGCGTCATCATCCTGCACACACTGACCCTACTGTCTGGCGGTGTAACAGACGCTGCCAAGCTTTGGATGCTGGGAACCACTCATCATTCGCAGCTTGCCTTAGACAAATCACTGATTTGATGGAGTCCAGCCGCAATGCGTCGAGACACGCAACTGAAGGTCCTAAGGTGAAATGAATTGCAACCTGGTCGCTGTCATGTGAGTTGTCAATAACCTCAGCTGGCTGAGGTCTCAATGTCTTCAATCATTAGGGGGAAACTTAAGTTTAGAATTGAGGGCTGTGACAAACCTTCCGACAGGATCTTGCCCGGTGAACCTTCCTAAAGGTTGTTCTGCGCACTGGACATGCATGCATGTGGACACCTCCCTCGCTGCTTGAGGTCAGACACGTCGGAGTGTAGTTGAGCCTTTTGGCAGTCTTCTCCTAGCCCTACCCATAGGCCCCATAGTAGTTCCTTTTTGGGATTACCTTATAGGATTCTAAATATGAACCCCAAAAAGGAATTACTGTGGGGCAAGTATTGTCCGAATCGGAGTCCCTGCTACACCCTGATTACATTGCACGGGCTACTTCAAGAAGAAAGAGGACTCGGCGTGCCATAACTGCTTATAACAGCTGCGAGTTTCTTGTTTGCAAAGCTGCGGGCCGTTCGGTAAACTTTCAACCCATGGGTACTTCCCCAGAAGTGGTCACCAAATCAACAGCCACCTATAACTTTGCCACTGGCTTCCAAGTGGCTTCTTTCAGCTGCTGCTTCTCTGTGAGGCTTTTCTCGTGGACAGTTGGCACCCAGTCGTCCTTCCATTCGGCCGGGTAGCCACATGGAGCAACCGCTCATGCTTTATTGCGCCACAGCTTGTGTGCAGATGTGGCAAGTTGCTGGACCCTGCGAAAGCTGGAAAGATCAGGCCTCTTCACCTCCAGCTTCTGCCGACACACCCTTGCGGCGCATGGTTTGAGTGGGCACCATGGCCACCTCACAGCTACGAACGGTGGAAGCGTGTAGTTTTCTATCGCCTGGATTATGAAGGAGCTTGCGGCCCATGTGTGCCCAGCCTCATCTACATCATCCTCACTCTGGGAGTCACCTGTTCTTGACGAGCACAAAATGATTAGGAGCCCCCCGGCCAAGTTGGACAATCAGATGAAGCACAGTCTCTTAGACTAGCTCGAAGGAAGCAGCACCGAGCCTTCAGCATCGCCGCCGACCTCCAACGTAAGAGGAGAATAACGAACGAACTGTTGTGTCTTGCTGTCGATATGCCTGAGCCACGGGCGGGTGCCTCGCAAATCTCCGGGCCAGCACCTGGCTTTGACGGTCACAATTCGCAGGCTTTAAAATTCCACATCGCACCAAACTGCTGAAACATCCATGACGCAAGTCTGGATCTGACATCAGACAGGCAGCTCCAACTAATGCTAACGATGTCCAGCAGTACAGCGAAAAAAGATAGTAGTGTCAGGGCACCAAGCCTGCAAAGAGAACTCTCGCTTTGCTAGGGCTTGGTGGATCTCCGTCAGGTATCCGCTGCCTGTCCCAAATCTTGAATACTTGCGGGATTTCAATTCTTGGTGACGACAAATCAGGGTCCCGGCACGACGCTCCTCCGCACGAAGAGGCCGTGATTGGGCTCGCAGGTAAAATACCTGGATCAGTCAACACTTGGAGGCAGATGGAGGCAGATCTAATAGCCGGCAGACAGAGGTGTTTAGACGAAGCTGAGCAACTCAATCCTCGCGTCTGCGCACGGGAAGATACGGGAAGCAAGCGTGAGCTTTTTGTCGCATTTTTTGGCACTCGCTCTCGACGAGGTCAGGCGAGGATCCCAGGAGACAACGTGATTCACAGCTGAGTAGATTCTGTGCTGTGATCTGCCCCATCACCGTTTCAACTTGCACTCGTTCTTTCGGATGGAAGAAACCATTGAGCAATAGAGCCCTGCTTCCTGCACGGTGCTGTCGCTCCGTGTGCATGCTGTACGTTTCGGCTGTGACAAGATCCACACGACGCATTGACACCTCTCTCTAGTCATTGACCGCGCGATGTATCCTTCGTGGCCTTGTAGTGTCTGCACCAAGCTCTTGCAGAAAGATAGCTTCGGATTGCAATGCCATCTTCACGATCGCAACAGATTACATTGCAAGAGCTTTCTGCAGTCGTGCCTTCTGTCCTGCACGGTTCCGTCGTTCTTGCCCACAGCTGGCATAGCCGATGCACACGACTGATTACATGGGGGCATTAACACGATGCCCACAGCTTCTGCATTCTACCTTCTGCACTCTACGCATGTCGACGGCGCCACTACAGCCTACGATTCTGCCACATGCCAGGACTGCTAGGACGTTGCAGCGAAACACGTGGCGGGCTGGCCAGGCTCAAGCTCAACACCGACCCACTCACCCGGGGCGAAGTGGGTCTCGCCCACGAACCGCACGGTGGCCGTGTAGCCTACCACTGAGACCTCCAGTCCAGGACGCAAGGCACCCCGTGTTCAGACCCGAACACCTTTTTTGGTTTCTTTTCTTGCTTTGCTGATGCTCAAGCCTCGCTGTCTGGAGGGCTAGCAATTCCGGTTTGATCCGAACGAATCTCTCAATGGATGCCATGGTTTCCTATTCTCTGTCGGAGACGGGGCGCCACAGTCCCCCCCCTCCCATGATCAAGACACATACATGGCATTGCCGTGGCAGCAACGCCTTCTGCCCGACAACCGGCTCTTCGTCCTGATCACGAGAGTTTGATCAACAAGCCCACCAAAGTCCAGGCAATTCAAGCCCACAGCTTGAAGTCATCCAGCCTGTGCTGCATAGCCACTGCTTGCCATCCGCTAGGGCAAGCCCGTGCGCATGCTTGCGCGAAGCTTCGCTTGCTTGTGTTTGATCGTGCTGCATATTGGAATTGCTAGTGTGGGAGTTCTGCAAGCACCTAAAGGGTTCCACCAGTGTCGATGCTTAACAGCCACATGTACATTTATACATGGCACATATCGCCTGGCAAGCTGGTTTCAACCAGACGCGCGCGACAGTCACGAGATTCGGATCTTTGGACCGTCGCCGTTGTTTGCGAAGGGACATTACACCTGGCGGGCAGAGATGCAAAGAAGGGCTTTTCGGCAGCCATGCACCAGTTGGAGGTCATGGGAGCTTGACAGGTGACACGATAATGAAAGCATGCTTTGGCAAACCTTGTTGCGATGCTTGGAAAATGTGCGGTAGATAGATTCGGACCGTCTCCTCAACCGATTTCGCGATTGCGAAGCTTGCCGTCAACGACCTGCCGGCTTCACTCGGATACATTATATTATAGTATATTAAATTATATTGTATCAAGGAATACAGTATATAGGTCGCTGAGTGCTTGGTTCGGCGCTTTCGGCGAGACGGCCTTGATCATCTGCTGAGCTGCTCTGCTCGAGCTTTGCAGCCAGGAATCAGCGCACGTATCCACCCCTCGGTGGGTGGGTGGGCTCTGATGGCTCTGGGAGGCTACCGGGGCGAGACGAGTCCTACTCGGACAGCTGCTGGGACATCTTAGAACCTTCGGCCCTAGCCCAGCTGTCTGCCAGGGCTCGAAGCTCGAAACCAGCTGCTGCCGACTCCAGCTCTGGCCACCTGGTCCCATCCCACAGCATCCTAGCATATGGGTAGTTCTCTAAATTAAGGGTCCCTTTTAGGGTCCTCCTTATAAGGGTGCCGTACTATATTGGGGACCTAAAAAGGGACCCGGGACTCTATTTTATAGAACTACCCATATCCTGGCGGTCCTACCCATGGTAGTCATCTTGCCATGGTAGCCATGGATCACCTGAGCCTCGGGCAAGCGAGCCAAACAGCCCCGGAGACTCACCTGGCTGTTCCGAGCATGGAGGCTCCACTTGAACAAAACATGGAGTGCACTCAGAGCAAAGCCGGCCGGGGTCACCTGAATCACTGTTGTCGGTGTCGTCTTGAGTGACTGCCTGCTCTCAGGGGCACGACACTCAAACGGCAGACTTGACTAGTCTCAGTTTTCGAAGCCGACCGGTCCTTACACAGTATTACAGCCTTCGTTCCGAGACCCCGAACAACTGCGAAAATGGTGTGGGCTCTTCAAGCATGAGCAATATCTTGCACCTTAAGTATATCTACCAACTTCGAAGTCGAAGGTACCAGGTGAAACTTGTGGCCTCGATCAGCTCTGGCGACGGGTCTGGGCGGTACGGCTCCGACGTGTCAGGCACTGCAGCCACCACTGTCAAAGCAGCCTGTCATGGCAGTTGCAACCAGCCACAAATAGCTCACAGCGCTTGGCCTCCTGATGCTTACTGGCCTCAAGGACGACGGGGCGGTGGTCACTTCCGCCTTGAGTGTGGATCACCTGCTGCAGCAAAGCCCCGCGAGCAAAGATCGATGTAACCTCATGTCACCTAAAGCTTTTGCGCTGCAGCCGACTAATGGCAGCAAATCCGACACCGGCCTCGTAACCGCCCTTAGGGAAGTTCCAGCGTAATCGCCTGAATTCTATGACATCTTGATCCGCGAGCCAATCAGGAGCTCCATGCAGTTCTGTGAAATGCTTGACTTCAATGAGCTTACAGCACGCCAATGCTGAGCAAGCTGGCTTGGAAAGCTGGTGTCATCTCGCAAGGTCGCCGGCCTTGCCAGCTTCGTAGGAGCCCATACCAGAAGCCGATCAGCCGACGCGGGAAAGCCTTCGCTGCCAGGGCATCAGACACAATGCTGAAAAGTTTCGGAACTGCAGCTGTGGAGCGGAAAGGGCGGAAGCTACCTTCCTTGAAGTCCAAACCTTGGCTAATGCGGATGGAACTGCCTGTAATGAATGAGCTGTACTTGCGTGCCAGGAGCCCCATTCTTTCAGCTGTTGTTGCGACCTCAAGGCTGCAGAAGCAGACACGGACACTTCTGGCTTGGCTTTGACGTTGCTCCAACTGAGGTGGCAGCAAGCTGCACAGTGTCCTCAAATTCAACCCAGGAAGAGCTAGTAACTAGTAGTAACGAATTTTGATAGAGAGAGAGTACGTTGACATGGACGTGTGCTCGTAGTTAGTAGCTCTCTGCGATGGGTATAGCAAGTTCGGGCAGGGAGCGCGTGGTAGCGCTCGGAGCTGGGGCTCTTCGGGCTAAGCTCCACGTCGCTCGCGGCCTGGAGGAGGGACTTCAAGGTGAGGGAGCCTGCGCCAAGGGCAAAGATGCAATGCCTGATGCCAAGGATTCCTGAGGCTGAAGCGCTGACGGCGATTTTTGCAGTCAGGGCACTTTCCCCCTTCAGGAAGGTGTCACCTCGTGACCAAAGGAGTTTCGGTACAGATTTTACCCAACCTGACTGCAGCCTACTGCAGCCTAGGTTGGGCAAGCATGGAACCTATGTCAGTGAACTTCGGCGAGGAAAGACAAGTCACAGCATGCTGACTCCGAACAAGCTAGTCACTCCGACCATTCTTGGGCGAGGAATGATCTAAAGAACAAGAACCGAGGAATCAAGTACGCACGCTGGCAAAAGGATGCTCTGTCAGGCCCTTTGACTAGACTCTAGTGTAGTTGCCGCTGCTGGCATTGCGACGGCAGCGCATTGTGCTTTGCGTGACTGCTGGTCGACAGGTTGTGCTGCCCGGACATCGGTTGCTCGGACTTCGTCGCGTAGGTTGGAGTCAAGAAGCGAAAGAGTTCAATCGGGGACCAAAAGGACGGAGCCTCTACCAATAAAGCTAGCAGGTAGTCACGAGAACTTCCAGCCGGGCGCCGTTTCTTGCTACTCTGCAGGAAATTCTGCGATTCCAACGCGTAGCTTCCTGACCTCCCGCTGGAAGAGTTATGTAGCTGACCTTCGCTCCTACGACCATGAATCCACAGGCAAAGTGCTGTGCACCGTCCCTTTACCCGTCCGAGCTCCAGGCCCACATCGTGTAAAAACTTGTATGTCACCTTGCAGTGCTGAGGTGGCAGGCTGGGGCAGTGTCTCATCTTCTGGCTTAGGCATCGTAGAGACCTGTTATGATTCATAATTAGTAGCTGCTGGCTGCATGGCAGGTCGCTGGAAGCTCCGATGGATCTGCATTGGAAGGTTCAAACCACTCCCCGTCCTTACTCGCATGCAGCAGAGCCTTCACACAAGAATCTTGACTTTCATGCGCTTGCGACTGGCGGCACCGACAAATCATCCAAGCTTCCAGTAAAGGCAGCCCGACTCGAATTGCCGCCTCGCACATGCAGGGACTTCATGAGCTGGTGTCGTGTACTCGTTTTGCTTCGGGCCCGCGTCCTGCAATTCTTTGTCTGCCATCACTTCACTCAGCACGTCCAACTGGTTGCCAGAAGGGCGAAGTACTGTTCTGCTGTTCAAATCGCCTGCGGGCAGTTTCGCTCGGCATGGTCTGGTTGTCTGAACAAGTCATCTAGCAACTTGTTGAGGCCAGCCTTGCAGAATGAGGATCGTGCCATCATCGAGCAGTCCCATTCGCTGCGCCTTGCACAGGACCTTTCTCAATGTCCTCCAGCAGGTCTTCAAACTCCGACGATCATCTCATGTTTAGCAGAGTGAGCAAAGCAAGCTGCTATCCTGGCTGCAAGCTGCTGCCATGCAGCACTTCGAACCGAAAAGTTGTTTAAATAACGCTGCTTTGACAACAACAAGGATGTGCAAGCCGAGTCCTTGCCAGGAGGATCTTTGCCTCTTCCAGATTATCTTTCTTCGGGTCTTCCAGAGCGGCCGCTATGTCACTGATCGGAAAATGTGCACCTCCCATGGGCATGTGATGTTTCTCGGGCCTCATCTTGAGTCCCCGTCTTTCCCACGAGGCTGATTGTCTCAACAGCTCCAACTGTGCAACGGTCCGGGGGCGGCACCAGCAAAGCAGAAATGCAGCTCTTCGTGCCGAGATAGCAGGCTTCGGCCGATGAAGGCCTTCTTGGGATTCGGCAAAGCCTTGCATCTGAAGACAGCAAACAAGCTCTCTCGTGGCGTCTATACCTGCTTGAGGCCCGAACCAGGCCAGCAACTCGCTTGTCCGGCAGCCTCCCAGCGAAAGCTAGCTTTGGACCCAAAGCCTTGCCACTCCTTGCCGGCATCCCCCCCTCGCCTTCCAAAGAGAGGTAATGACTCAGGATCTCTTCTGAAGCGAGATCTGGAAAACCTCAAGACTCAAGTGACTCTGAAAACTTCATGCGGCAAATCACATGCGGACGTTGCCCCCGCCCTCATCCACCACGTGCAAGTAGAACGACGGAGACACCCCAGCACCCACTCCCCAACGTTTCGTCCAAGCAGCTGCCCTCCCCTTGCCCGGCTCCCCACGAACCTAAAAATAGAATAGTGCAGCTGCAGTGTTCGATCAAAAGTGCCCTTCGTGGTGTTAACAAGCCGAATGCACCGCAACAAGCAAATCCTTCCCGTTGTCTCCCCCATAACTGCTCCTGTGCCCAAGCTGAATCACCCGCGAATACCTGATCCAGGTTTTCCTTTGAACGATGCAATATCACATGCCTTATATAGCCTAAATATATTCAGGACTTACATACTCGACATTAATCAAGGCACTTGCTGTTGCATCGTGCAGGTCAATAATCCCTTCGGCTCTTCAGCTATGAATATCAGACCAGCTGCAAGAGCAAGGTCTTCAGATTCCCGTTGTACTTCTCGGCCATGCCGTCCAGGACACTCGTCCAAGGCAGCTCGTTCTTCCTGGTGATGGAGGTTATGGAAGTTAGAGCCATACTGCGTAGGCAGCAGGAAACGGACAGCTGTCAAAGGTGTCAAATTTCCAACCAAACCAACACGAGAATAATACAGCGTTAAGTCTTATGCTCCGAGTGTCTTGTCGGCCTCTTTTAAAGAATTCCTTGGTGCCACAGGCTTGCCACTGAACTTTTTGCAAATGCTCGGCACACAAGCCTTCCTTGCAGGTGAGGTGCTGGTATGTCGCTACATCCAATGCGTGGGAGGGCTGGGTCCGGTATTCGCGAACCCAAGGGCCCAGTTGCAACCTCCACTTGCAAACATTTCTTAACGTGATGTTTCAGAAAATGCAACGGCTACAGCCGCCAGCCTCGTCTCTGAGAGCGTGGCAAAGACGAGGTCTACCGGACTTCCATCTGCCAACGGCTCCTAGCTTCCCGCATTCCTCTCTCCGTGGCTAACCAGCATTTCGTCCGGTTACTGCGTCAGTCTTTTGTGCAACTGTCCCGGGTCAGGCAAACTCAATGGTTAGCGTAGGCCTTCTCGATTTGTCAGCTAGCCTACCATTCACACGCGCAGCCGAAGAGAAGCAGCAAGAGTCCGGCCGAGGCAAGAAACTCGAAATCCGAACTGCCTGACCCGAGTAAGCAACCAAGAAGAGGAGAAGAGGAGAAAAGCGATGGTACGCGATGGTCGAAGACTGAAGACCAAGGGTACGCAATTGGCTGGCGCACGTGCCAGGCCAGGCCATTGACGGCTGATTTGCTTCTGAAGTCCCAATCTCCACCCTTCCGAAGCCCCCCCGGTGCGTCAGCATTGCTCCTGTACCCAGCTTTCAAAGCCGCCACCGTTGCCACCCTGCAATTGATGCAAGCCTTCGAACCTTGCATCAGCAAACACACACACAGAGTGCTGAGCGAGTCGCAAATCCAGTACGATAAGCGTTGCGTGTGGTCGCTCTCTCCGCACAGTCAAGAGACGCAGAGCTGTTGGCCATGTTGTAGTTGTAAAATCTCATCCCTTGGAGGAGACGACTGGAGGTCAAACAGTTCAGATGCAAGCAACACCACATGGGTTTGTCATTGTTAGCCGTTCACAGAGTGATACAGCGCTATGGTTCGCTGGTTGACAATGTGCAATAATACTGGCAAGCAAGTCGTCTTGCATAGCAGCCACGGTAGGTCCACTCCACCTTCTCCACCCCTCCATTGCTGGACATTGCTACATTCACCCAGCATCGGCTGAGCTTACACGGATCTGTCACATGCAGCCACATGAAGGCACAAATGCAAGAAAGGCTTCCTGGCAGGTATGTCTGTGCTCTGCGCTCTCTGTGGAGAGGTATGTCCGTCTGCCTGTGCTCTGCGGTACCTACAACTGAAAAACTCTCTGTGGACGGTGCATCAGTTCGTGTACTTAAACTTTAAATTTTAGCCTCCTGGAAAAGCTGCGCCAGTGCATGTCCAGATTCTGAAATAGATATGAAATATTTATAACGAGCATTACTCCAGTGACGACCACGACGACACGACCACAAGGGGGTACCAGGAGACCATCCGGACCAGACAACCGAACCCACCCCCACTCTCATGCCTTGCGAATCTGAGATACCATCCACAGCTTCCTTTGCCACAAAACTTCTAATTGCCATGCATGTTACTTTCAGGATCCAAATCAGTGCGGAATCAGTTTACACTCCGCTCGCGCAGGGGTAACACACCACAATGAGATGGCACAGTGACAGCCCAGGCCCAAAGTGGGCTTAAGTTAGGCTTAGGTCTATCGTGCTTATGTGACCTCTCGCCCTGACCATGTCGTCGCAAACTGCGTCAAAGGGCACCTAGAACCGAGCTTCGTGGAAAGACCGGGAACGGCCAAACTGCTGAGACTGCACACACTTCTCTTCGCCTCACGTAGGTCGGCAGCTAAATCCCTACTTTCCAGTGTCCGGAGCATGATACGTTTCAATCGCTTACTATGCCAGCTCCTGGCTCTAAAGCTAGGGTCGTTGAGTCCTAGCTTTTGCTGTCGGCTACTGCTGATTGGCAGGTCTCCTATAAGAGTCTATGTGCAGTTGGCACGAACTCAAGGGCTCCTCACTGCCACTGTGTCCTTAGCTTGGACACTGTCCCGGCCCCCCAATCGATGTCTGCAGCGTTGAGGCTGGAGGTCTGGCAGCAGCTCGACACACTTGGCGAAAGTTCGCAGCAGGAGCTCCCGATGCCATCTATACTGCGCGCGTCAATGCAGCGCCCCCTGCAATAAGGCGATGGCAAACGCACGCTGCAGGTGGCGGACCAGTCAGCCTTCAGAAAACGGGTGAAACACGGATCTCTGTAGCACAGTCACAGAGGGCTTGGGCTCAGGCTGATCCGACTGCGGCGCTGCTTCTGCTGGAGCTCCCGCAGACCAGGCATGCCGTGCTTCCTTGTGGGCAACTACGACCTCTCGATAGTCTGTGGCGGCATTGCTAATCCTGGCGAAGACTACTTGCACAATTGCAAAGCGGTTGCACCTTACAAGTACTTGCTTACTATTGTCGAATGTGCATTGAAGCCATGAACCCCAGCTGTGACATGAAAACATCGGCCCTTATCTGCTTGCTCGAAGGTTCGATCACCAACTCTGTCTGATCCCGATGCCCGCTTGGAAGCTGTTTGGTTTCGAAGTGACTTCGAGACGATCTTCCCGAAGCTAAACGCTGAACCCGAACGAGGCTTTCTGGCGCATGCGCCCAGAGGCTACAGCACGTGGCTCCGACAAGGCCCGGCCAGTTCTGACGAGGCGCATGAAGCAGTCCTTCATCTCCTCCCCGTCATCGCGTGCGTCGTCCTTCGCTTGTGCCGCCGAATCCGCGAGCTGCCACACTTGTGTACATTGCCCTTGATGCCCGCGTGCCTCGTTTGCCCTGGGCGGAGCTCTCAAGGATCGGATGCCTGGAGCGCAGAGTCCGTCTATGGCGTTGCACGGCGAGGGCGGAAAGCATCGAAAGACCTGTCTGTGAACATTCCTGCCGTCAGGTTGCGCCCTCCTTGGCCTTTAATGTTGAGCACGGCCTGCACAAAACTTCATGTGCCATCGCATCTGATGATGGCGTTTTTGCAAGTCCTACGAGTACCAAATCACTTAGGAAGCTCAGTGCCTGAAAAGTTGGATCTCCATTGTGCTTTTTACCTCGGTCGACTCGGTGGCTGTTGACGTACTTACTGCAACAAAGCTTTGACAAGCTTCCGGCCGACTTGTTCCACCTCGTAGGTGGGCGGCTCAGTATCCGAAGGGTTGCCGATGACAACCCCACCTGCTCACACATCCGTGCTTGGCGCAGGCTTTTTGCGAAGTGATTTGATGCCAGCAGCACTAGTAACTTTCACAGTTGGACCTCGGAATCCGGGTTCCTCCCGATCCTCCCGCTCCTCCCTCTCGCCGGCGTTGGGCCTCACAAAGCTCGGGGACGTGGTCGCTGCAGGGGTCTGGTCATCAAACCGCGCCTGCCCCTCCCGCGATCCGAGTACCTCGATCCCTTGGCTCCAGCACATCGACGTCCAGTGTTGCCAAGTGGGGTCGAAGGGGGAAGAAGTAAAAAGCAGTGCAGCAAGGGCAAGTGAAACTTTTTCTTGCTTGCACAGCGCTGAGAGTGTTATCAAACGTACCAGATTCGTTGCGAAGACGGCACGAAACTAAATAACTGGAAGCCTTTCATCGGACTGCTGGAAGATGTGCCTTGGGCACGAGGCCAGCGATCTCAGGGGCCGAATGCCTGGAACAACCTCTACACACTGAAAAAACATCTCGTCTTGATCATGATTTGCAGAACAGCTGCAGAACCCACAACCCGAATGTACTATTCATTATGCTAAACTGACACCGACTGTGTGTTCAGCCCCTTTCGCTTATAGGTCCGTCGTACATGCATTGGCGTGTGAGGGCCGAACTGCGCCTCGGACTCGAAAATGGACTCGAAAGGTTCCACTGTACACTGCAAAACTTGCGCAGTGAGGCTTGAGAACACCCTTCATCCATGACGTGAATTCTCTGATGAGGACTCAGCAGCTGAACAAAACCTTTTCGAGCCTGGCCCTGACGCAGCAGTGGTCCCTCAGCAAACAGCTTATGGCCAGGGTTTGGGCCACTCCAAACATGCAAAACCTGCGACGCTGAACCGTGTGGTTGAAAAATTTCAACCCCGAAGCCCTAAACCCGAGAGAAATCGCACCTTGACCCCCTATATCCTACACGCGTTGATGCTCCGGACCCATGCCAGTTGAACTCTGAATGACAAACCGAGGACTCCCAAACCCTGGTCTTTCAAAAACTTTGGACCGGTTGGGAGCTTTATCTTGCACTGCCGATATCCTTGTCCTGCATGCATGGTCAGCTAGATGCTGATGCCGTGCTCGTCCTCTCTCAAGTCCGGCAGGTCCAACAGCTGCAGGTTGCCTGCGTGCTCCGTAGACACTGCGCTGCTTTCAGGCGGCGGAGACTTTGGAAGTGTCGTCGCCTGCACTAGCTCCACAGCATCCGCGGCTCGCAAGGAGCCAAGACGTTGGATCGCGGTGATCATTTCATCTGGCGTGAACCGGAATGTGGCAACGCCCTTGGCGGCCAGCAAGGCCTCAATCCGGCTCTTCCACAGGGACGGTATATCGGACTTCGGGGTCTTGAAGGGAACCGACTTGTGCGCCGACGTCAGAATGCATAGGACCTCCATGGCATCCTTGGGCAAGGCCGACTGCCGGAAGACCCCCAGCCACAGCCCGGCAAAGTCGTCCAGCGCCTTGCCGGTGGACCGGTATTGATAGAAGCGCCCGAAGCGCAACAAGCGTCGGCGCACACTGCCGAGGATGGACGCTTTGCTTTTGCGTGCCGCGGCTGATGCTTCTGATTCGAAGGCGATGCTGCTGGAATGAAAGCACCACTGCAGCATGTACTGCTCGTCGGAAGGCTCCTGGAAGAATGGAGTAGCGGTCTTCACAGCAAAGTTCTTCACTTTGCTCGCCAGACCGGAGAGGATGTTGCCAGTAGCACGTTTTCCGCTTTTGCTCATCTTCTTCTCGTCCTCCTCGGCTTCATCGAGTTGATGGGAGGTGTCTCGGAGGAACTGTGCAAGAATATGCAAGCCCAGGTAGCAGCACATCAGTGTGAAGAGCGCGGCTAGGGAACCTGCCAAGATCCATGTGGCTTCCCTCCTTGGGGCTAAGATGAGGATCACCGAGACCATGCTGAACAACAGGAACCGGAAGATAGCCAGGCCAATCTCAAAGAAGTCTAAGATCTGCGCTTGACTGTTCTCAAAGGGTTGCAGCCAAGCACAAATCGCCATCTGCGCACCCGAGATCACCGGATACGAGAGCAGCTTCGCTCGCTGATCATCTGTGAGGGAGGTGTACGTGACCAGCATCATGAAGGCGATGTCTAGCCGCCGGACCACTAAATCATACCACCAGAAGCGCGGTTCGAAGCCATTGATGAAGTACCCGAACCTTCGCTGATTTTCCGGGCTGTTCCTGTCCCTGAGCCTATAGATCACCAGGATGAGCAACAGCGGCATGCCGACACACCAGCAGCCCAGCCCAATGATGGCTATGACGGCCAGCGGCATGTGATCACTGCTCCAGCACTGTACGTCAGGATGGGGGAGGAGCCGCTGAACCACTCCCGTCTCCTCCTGCACGGGTTGGCACCAAATCATTTGAAGGTACTGAGACAGAAGCCCCGGCCACATGTTGATCAGTGTCACCCATATCACCGGCACAGACTGGTACAGGAGCTTCATTGGAGAAGGCTTCCGCGTGAAGAGCCCGAAATCCAACGTATCCATGTCTTCTTCTGTGTCGCCGCTCTCCGCCTCGGCCGCGATGATCTTAGCAGGTTCCATCCTGAGAGCAGAGGCCACCTCTTCCACCACGAGCATGAACTCATCTCCTTCAGAAGCCTTCTTCATGTCGCCGACGGAGGAGTACTTCTGCGAAACAGCCACAGCCAGCTTGTCGAGTGGCAGCGGATCTGTAAAGCTGGCCTTGACAAGAGCGAATGCCAATGCACGGCGAACCAGGAGGTCTATCAGGTTCAAGTCAAGCTCGCCAAAAGGATCGAGTTGCCCTCCCAATCTACTCTCGTCCAGATCGGAGAGAAGGCCGGGGTTCTCAACGCAGGCAGAGAAGTCCAGGTCCGCTGCTTCAAGCAGAGCAACAACCCTTGGATCTTCTTTCACACGATCCAGGCCTTTCTTCAAGCGGGCTGGCAGCAAGCAGGGCTGCACGCCTTCCATGAGAGACTGCGGGTCGTCGATGCCCATGTAGATCTCTGCTAGCCCCAGATCATCCAAAGCCGAGGAATCCTTGACATCCTGGAAAGTGAGATTCAAGTCTTTCAGCTGAGGGGTCAGCACATCCCCGAGCACTTCGAGCGCCGCCTGCCGCTTCTTTCGCTTCTTGGCTGCCTCCGTGACTTCGATGCCGACCTTCCGCAGAAGTGGGACGACTATGTAAGCCACGACTGCACAGAGCACATAGCTGCTCAAGATCGCCATCAACGGCAAAACAACGAAGTATAGACCAGGCATCAGCTGCTTCACGACCGGGGAATCGGAGATGTGCTCGGCCCAGCAAGACAGGGTAAAGCTCACCGCGCTGAGCTTTGACGCGACGTCAAGCACACCAAAGACAAAGCGAAGCCATGCACTGACCTGGCTCGGCCATTCGAAGTTCAGGCTCGTGAGGTCGTCGCAAGGGTCATCGTTTTGGGAGCATTCCTTGATCTTGGCCTCCAGCGACCACTCAAAGACTTGCAGTTGATCTACGTCGTAGTGTCCCAGCACCGAGCACGCTGTCATGAACTGGGTGCCGATTCGGATCATGCTTGTATGCACACTGCGGCTGTCCTTCACCGCTGCCATGGCCGCCAAGGAGGCCACGGCGAAGTTAATGAGGATGTTTTGAGCGATGTCCGTGAAGACAACCAATCCCATCCAGCTGAATGACGAACGGCATTCGGAGCAGGCGTCTGGGTACTGATTTCGTGAGAAACCGGGAGGGCATGATCCACACAGGAAGCCGGTGGAGCCTTCTGCGCATTCGTTTCCTCCGAGGCAGACAGATTCACCTCCCAGGAAGAAGACCTGGCATTTCGCTGCCAGAGTTTGGCCCGTCTGGAAGAACCCGACCTCCGCAAAGGGCTGTCGATGTGCACCAGCGCTGTCCAAGCCCCCCTGGCAGGTCAGTCCCTTGTAGTTGCATGGTGCGCAACTCTCCAGCTCCTCCTGGGTACCGTTGCGCAAGCCCATGATTGCATGGTATCCACCGATGCAGAAGCAGTCTCCAACATCCACGGCTCCTTCGTTGCTGATCCCGTTCGTTGGGCAGCTGTTGCGGCAGTCCTGGTCTCCATCATTAGGCTTGTAGTAACCGCGGCGGCAAGGGATGCACCCTGCCACTTGCTCTCTGAAATACCCCGCACTGCAAATGCAGTCGGCTTCGCTGCTGCCGCCTACATCGGCCGTTGCCGTCAAGGTGTTGTCTGGGCAAGGGAACATTGCCCCGCCAGCTGAGATGCCTGGGCAGTAATGGTCGCGTTGGCACTGTGAGCAGCCTCCGTCTGCTGCGAAGCGTCCTGCCTCACACTGACAAAGGCCCTCTGAAACCGCTCCCATCTCCGCCGTGGACATCCACTGCGGACACTTCGTACACAACACGTTGCCAACCGTCGCCTTGTACTCGCCAGCTGCACACAGTTCACAGATATCTCCTGACGCAACGAAGCCGTAGCCAGGACTGCACTGACAGCCGCTGCTACTGAGGACCTGTACTCCCGGAGGTACGGAGCGGTAGATGGGGCAGAGAATGGTCGCCTCAGAAAGCGTGGGCACAGACAGCCTCGTGCTCATTGAGGAGTACATCGGATTGTCTGCCGTAGATTCGGCGATCCCTGCGGAAATGGCATCCACGTCCAAATCCTGCAGCATGACCTGTGCTTCTTGCACCGTGCGGTGGTTAATCCTGAGTTCCAACTGCATGCTGTTTGTTGCCAATCGTCGCTCTGCAGCCGGCAGGATCTCCAGAGTCAAAGCCTCCTGGCCTCCCACAACATTGGAGATGGCGGCCCGAAGCATCGCCTGCAGCTCGTCCAAGAGGCCGCTGCTCATGCTGGTCTGTGCCTCGGGAAGATCCATCAGCTCGAGCCGCACCACCACGGCCGGCACTGTACTCTGATTGCTTGTTTGAGTGGTGTCATTGCGACTGTCTGCAAGCAGCTCAGCTCGATCGATGCAAGAAGCGTTCGACACCGAACCCTGCATGTAGGTGGTCAAGCCTTGAGGGCATGCCTTGCAGCTGGCATCGCTGATCTCATCCTTGTAGAAGCCGATTCCGCAGCTCACACAACTTTGTATGTCATCACCAAGCTCATAGCCACGTTCACACTCGCAGGCAACTTGCGTCACGGCTCCCACTGTCTTTGTCGTCCGGCGCACAGGGCAACCGATGCGCACAGCGAAGTCACTACTGCCGCCGGCACAGAAGTAACCTCTCGTACATACTCGACATTTCCGACCTGAAGACAGGCCCATGCTGTACCGCCCTGGGGGGCAGGTGAGCTCCAGTTGTCCGGCCGACACGAAGGAATCTGGCGAGGAGCAATCGCTAGTTTCCGAACACCAGCACATGCGGTATATTCCAGGTGTGCCGTCCAACTGCGGCAGCCCCAGCAAAGCCTGATATCGCGCCCCAGTCCTCGTGAGGAACATGGTGGAGGTCAATGTCTGGTAGCCCAAAGCGGCCATGCATGTGGGCCCAGCGCTGCAGTCATTGCCTGCAACGACCGTGACTTCATCACCGGCTGCCAAGTTGGAGCCCACAAAGTCCACCGTGCAATCGGCACCCAACTCGCAGGTCGTGACCTTTTCCAGCGGGCCTGCAAGGACAAGAAAGCCAATCGCCTGGGTGAAGTGCTCGGCAAGCGTGCAGTTGTCCACATCAGGGACCGGCCGACAGAAACACAACCGGTAGACGCCAGGTCGGCCTCGGACCTCCTGCGATCCATCTCCGATGAAGAGGAACTCCTGGCCGTCGTCTGTACCATTGCCCGACGTTTCGAGAATGCCATCTCCGGGAAAACCCGGCAGGGGGCTTCCTCCACCGCACACTTCAAGCACCATGATTCTGTCGCCACCACGGAGACCATAACCAGTGATGAGCGGGAAAATGCAGTCCTGGCCAACTGCACACTGCGCCTCGTGCGGGTTGAAGGGCCCCACAATCCTCATTTCTCCAGCTTGTACCCACCCGTAGGGGTCCTCGCAGCTGCCCTCGACCGAACTTCCACACCAGCAGATGTAGTGCGGGATGGGATCGTACTGAAACTGGATGAACTTGAAATCCATCGTTAGCACGGAGGTCATACCGGCATCAACGATCTCCGCCCTCTTCAAGGTGGCCTGCTGTGCCCTCTCTGTGACGGAGCCACATGCAGACCGCTGCGCCCTCACCTTGCTTATGTTCAATGTCAAGCCAGCTCCGGCAAATGCGACGTCAAAGCAGTCGCGGCCCATGACGCAATCCGCGGGTGGTGGAGGATCTGTAGGATCCCACAATGGGCCAGCCACGAACATCTGCCCAACTGACACTACATGGTTCCACTGATGGACGCAGTAACGGCTGACGCAGAGACAAACGTTCAGGAGGTCCGGAACAGGCTGGAAATCTGCAGCGCTTTCGCCCCATACAAAGACCGTTCCGTTGTCTTCGCCATATGCAGACATACCTGCGTTCTCAATTCCAATGTCGTCACGATCGGTCTCGTTGCAGTTAGATTTCGTGAGCTGCAGACGGTAGTGCTGCCCATGGTGGGAGAGGCCAGGTACTCCGCGTACAACACAGGTTTGTCTAACGGGACAAAACCACAGGCTCTGGACTTCTGCAAGAACTTGGACACACCCTGTGTGTTCCGCTGTGTTCGTAAGCCCTGGCGGACAGGAGATGCACTCCACATTGCCGCGGCCAATGCTTATGCTGGCGATGGGGCAGATCTCACATCGAGCAAAGCCGGGAGAGTCCTTGAAACGTCCGGCATCACAGGGCTCACAGCTGCTGTTCTCACGCAGCTCGAATCCCGGCAGACACTGGCAAGCATTGTCAGCGTCGGGACGGCAGATCTCCCTGCGGTACGCGATGATGTCTGACAAGGCCAGATTGCCACCGTTGTTTGCCATTCTGTGGCCTCCAAACATCAGCAGCTGGCGTGCAGCTGGAACGAAGACAGCTGTGCAGTCACGCCGCTCATAGCCCATCTTTCCTGCACCACCAAACACTGCTGTGGCGTTTGCCTGTAGGTCGATCTCCCAGATATCCTCTGCGGCAACAAGCATGGTACCCGCTGCTGGGTCCCACACAGCCGAATATTGGTGAGAAAAATACATGGTGGGCTGCATCTCTGGGGCAGGCAGCTTGCTCCACCTGTTGGCCTGTGTGTCGTAGCGCAGAAGCGTCTGGTACGAACACCCAGGATGTAACTCGCAGTAGTGATAGAAGTCATCACCATATGCGCCGCTGAGGCCAGAAAGTATGTACATGGATCGCTCTGCGGGTGCCCATACCGCGAGATGCTCGTCCGCAGGAGGTGGCAGGTCTCCATCACCGTCCACTTTGGTCCAAAGGTTTGCCTCCATCTCATACGAAAAGAGATCTGAGGAAACAACAAATGGAGGGTTGGGGTTACGTCGACGGCCACCAGGAACTGCGTCAAGACGTCCTCCGAAGACCCACATGGTGCGGAACTGTGGGTCCCATACAGCGGTGTGATCAAAGCGGCCGAGCTCACTCTCCAGCAGCCCGCCCGCCATGGCCGGCATCGGATCTGTAACGGTGTTGTCCCCCAAGTCGTATATGTGAAGCTGGCTCATAAACTGGAACTCGTCCTCGGTGTCGCTTGTACCTCCAAAGATCAACATCTGTCGCCGGACGGGATCCCACACGGCTGTATGTCTCATTCTTCTGGTGACTGTGGTCATCCACGTCGGTTCCAAACTTGTCCATGCATTTGCCTGGAGAGAGTACTTGACGAAGGGGCTTGATGGGGCATCGAGCCCATTTCCTCGAGTCGTGGCTGCACCACCAAAGACCAGCATCGCTTGATCCACAGGGTCCCAAACAGCTGAATGCACCAGGCGGGCCTCTTCTGAATCGGCCAGACGGTGCCATGAGGATTCAACAGCCATTCCGTCTGTTAGGCACACCCGCCATCCAGATTTATACTTGTATGCGCCTCTTTGGTCACGTGGTTCCGGGATCCATCTGATGATCCCTTGCGGCGGCTCCATTAGCTCTGCGGACTCCAAAAACCCATAATAGGTTTTGCCGTTGATTTGCAAGACATCCCTCGGTCTCGTCGCGAACGATGAGATGTTGATATGCTTCGAGTTATTCGCATCAACCTCGATCGAGCACCCGTGCATGTCATACTCCAGCCCTTCTAGGAAGTTTGGACTTGAGATGCAGCCTTCTGCATCCATAACGCATCTCCCGCTCAGAACTCTCCAGCCGGCATTCGTCACCTCGGGGGACGGTGGAGGTGCGTCTGGTGCATCTGGAACCAGACAGATAGCAAACCCTCGCAGTTTGTTTTCGTTCGCATCCATCTCGGGGGAGAATATGATCGAACCTTGTGGAACGACTCCGCTGGGACCCGTGTATCCGCTGTAATTTTGGCCGTTGACGATCAGCAAGGCAGTTTGTGTTTCGAAGTCCATAACCTGAAGAAACATTGCATTGCCGCTGATCACCTCGATGACACATCCCGCCTGGGTATAGTCGTGAGGATAAGCGGATTGTCTGACACAGCATATGCCGCTCTTTGCCGGGCAGTTGATGGGCCCGTCGCCCGCGCCGGTGTAGGCAGAATAAGTGTAGCTGACATAGCCGTAGCCGTAGTTGTAGTCGTAAGCAGAGTCCCAGAATGTAGGATCATGGAAACGACCACTGTCATACTCATCAGGCACTTGGCTGCGGAAGAGGGAGTAGGCCTTGCAATATCCGCTCGTCCGGACGAACTGAGCTTCGCAATCCGCAACACCCACGAACCACGAGGTCACTACCCCAAGCTGTATCCACCTGCTGAACATTGGCCAAGTCCGGGCTCTCTCTCTCACACACGGACTCAGTTGCCTGTCAGCCGCGACGCAGAACATAGCGATTTCGACATGCACGCTTAGCTAAAATGAAATGCGAGAACCGAAACTACCAAACTACAAGGATGTCACATGCTGTGCCCAATCATCCCGGATGCCCTCCAAGCTGAGTTGAGGTAGGCGTTTCAAGTTGTGTATGTGTATATCCGATTGGATACGTGGCCCATGCAGTGCGAGCTGGAAGTGCGAAATTCGGTTACGCTTTTAAGCCACGGATGCAAACGGCTACGGCACCTATATTGCATATCTGCAAGTTTCCTGGTTGCCGCTCAGCCGCACTGCGAGACCGATGCCTGCTGTCAGGCGAGGCTGCATGTTGCACTGTACGAATACCTGATTCTGAACCATCCGGGAATGCTGTGGGCTGAGGTGCCTCTCGCGTGAGGGCGATCGCCTTCGACGTGGCGACCTGACCACGTGCCACGTGCCCTCGCTGACTACCCGGCGTGTCTCTGCGCACACGGGCCTGGATGGTGAATCGTGCCACACAGGCCTTGGACGCTGCATTCAAACTCCAACTTGATAAAGACTATGGAAGGGTCCGCGTACTTGATGCCACGAGTATGCTACAGGATACTCAAATCGTCAACCTGATCATCGCTGAAAGTGCCCTGGAGACGTCTGCTGACAAGCGTCATGTTGTCGGTCCTTCGGGACACAAAGGATTTAGCGCTCATGCTTGCGAAAGACAGAATCATCCTTTCAATCGAAGCAACTTGGAGTGTAGAATCTCGCCAAGGCACAAGTACTGCGCGGCTGCAAACAGCGCGACTTGCGGGCGCACGTCAACGGGGCGAAGTCTCTGCTACAATTGGCTCAGTGGCTCTGCAATGATGCTTGCGACGGTTCTGTCGTCCAGCTTACAGTTCTAGCAGGACAAGCGAAGAAATCAATGAATACATTGCAGATTAGCTCTGCATGCTGCTTATCTCGAACTCCATCCGAGAGACCGAAGGAAAAGGCGTCTTTTGTGCCGCGTTTTCGGGGAACGCTCCTTGTCTCTCGGCCCGGATGCCTCTAGCTGAAACCTGAAGCCAAGAGCTTCTCGAGCCAGGCTTTCCCTCATCGAATTCAGCCAGCTGTCCAACACGGGGTGTTCAAGCGGTATGTCTCCGATGCCGATGGAGTGGTGTAGGTTACGGCGTTGCGGTCTGAAGCAATGGTTTTTCCACCTCTGGGCGAGACATCTAGGCGACATGTAGGCTACCTTTGCGCGTCGCATCCACCGCCCCTCCCCAAGAATTCATCGACAGGGAGCCATGGCGTCCATGGTACCCAGAAACATCTCATAGCTGTGAGAGATTGACGCCAAAAGATGCAACCCTCTGCTTGTCTTCCATGTCGTGGACTTGCGATCTTCTCTTCTCCAAGAAGATGTGCCAGCCGCATTGCCACCCGACTCTTTGCAAGTCGCTCTCCAGTTCACGGCGAAATGCGGCAAAAAAACTCCGCGAAGGCCAGCGGCGAGAGTCGTGAGTTCTTCTGCAGCCAGTCAAGCACCGCTTGATGCCCTGCAAATGCACTGGGCATAGCTCGAGGCCGGGAAGCGCTTCTGCTTGACGCACAACATGGACTTGGCTGGAGGTGGCAAAGCCAGGGCCGGGAGTGTGCAGAAATGACGTGATGTGCAAGGTTTAGAACACTGTCGGCATCCAGCTCTCCTCCTCTTCCGGGCGCAATATCCACATCGTCAATGCCCGGCGCGGACGATAGGCGGGCAGCACTTCGTGCCAGAGGCTGGAGAAGAAGATCACCTCATGGCGCGAGTTGTGGCCGGACGAAACCTAGATCGTCGATAACCTAACGGTAACCCAGTGACTAGTACAAAACCAGTCAGGTCCAAGATGCCAGCGTTCCAGCTCTCGGAGCAAAGGACACAGACGGATGATCTGGAAGGGGGGCAGACTCAAAGTCTTCTGTCTGTGGGTACAGCTTCAACGCTCCTCCGTCCTCAGAGGCCGTTCATGTGCAGCTTCACTGTGCCACAGGTGGAAACAACTAGGTAGTACGTTCCAGGACGTTCCATGCTAGGAAAACCTGGAGCACTTTCAGGTCTAATTGAGGATTTGCTCTTCTTTGACGCTATGTGTTTGGTATGCTTTGGACTTGCTCTGCTTTGTTTCAGGGCCTGAATGTCGCGGTATTGACAGTATGTCCTTGCTTTTACGGCTTTAGCTCTCTACAAGCCTTCCATGTGGACCTGGGCGCCGTAACGACCAGAACAACTTCAGAAGACATACTTACCATGGTTTTCACGAGACGAAGACACAATCCCACGCACCCTCGCAGGAAGCCGTTGATCTACTGGTATTGACAGTATTTGCCTGCTTCCGGTACTTATCCCTGTGACAGACATTTTCTTTCTCGCGACCAGCAGCAGGTATGACTGTGCAAAATTCAGGCTTCTTCATGAGGCAGTTTTGGCTTCGTTTTGTTCTGCCTTCGTGTGAGGACCTATCTTCTTCTAGTAGCACGAGCAAATACCTTCAGCTTTACCGTTATTCTTGTGTTTTTCGTGCTTCCGTGGCTAGAAATGTTCGTCACGATCGGGGTGTTCGTGATGCACTTTCTTCAAGCGACACCAGGTCCATCCGCTCCCACACAGCAGCCCAGTGCCAAACATGTTAACTTCTCCACCCGTTCTCACGGAGCATCCCTGTGCCGACCATGTTAACGTCCACAAAAAGCAGCATTTCAGGCATGTCAATGTCTTTCTGTCTTCATGGACAGAATCCACAGCGTCAAACACGAGCAGAGCGCAGTCTACTCTTGTTGCGCTTCGACCAATGCCCGGAAGAGGCACTCGAAGGGCATCCCAATCAGAGGGATTTCCATACCTGAGTTGCTGTAGGCAGTCTGAACAAGCAGACGCGGGCTTCCCCTGAAGACGAGGTGCAAGATCGCAGTGAGCTCTCGAGAATTCAGTCGTGTACCGTGGCTTGGCCTGCAAAGGCGGCTGCTCGCAACGGAACATCAAGACAGCCCTGGCTCATCCACAGCACGAGGACGAGGGCCTGAATCTGTTGTCCTGTGCAGCACAGGCCGAGCGGTGTGGACTGTGACAAATTCCCGAGACAGCATAGCAAGCCTGGTGACAAATGTAGCGCGCACCATCGCCCGGATAGCAGGCAAGTTGTGCTTTGGGCGACACCGTCAGAACCGCCTGGTCTGTTGCCGGCAACCGCGGACGCAACCTGCGGGCATGCGTGCTTCGGCATTGCAGGTTGAAAACACGGAGAAAGCCTGAACAAAGGCACTTCTTACTACTTACTCAGGGGATTTGGCGTTTGTTTTCAGAGGTTGGCTGGGCTCGACTCACCAACAAATGCTGTCGGATATGCGATGCCCATGAGGATGCAGAGAGAGGTTCTGCCAAGAGACGCGTGCGCAGCATCTCCAGCAGCGTTCTTGCTCCAGTGGTGGGCCGTGAGATCCGGGTTCAGTTCTGATGCCAAGCCCTGCATAGAGCCCAAAAACCGTAGTTGAACTGTGCCCTACCGCAAGGGGCTCACCATGTGCCAATAAGCCTAAGGTCCGGTGCAGCATATTGCAACTTTTCCAAGCCCTGCGGCTGCCTTCAGCAGCACAATGGCCTTCGCCACAGCCTCCGAGCCATACCGCCCAACCTTGCACCATTCGAGCCGCAGGATTAAGATAGTCCGGTACAAGTCCTTCGGTCCCATAGAAGCCAGAAACCATCGTTATCGTTGAAAAGCACTTCGAGGCCAAAGCTGCCATTGGCAAAGCTGCAGCTACATATGCGTATCAGCACATACACCGAGCTGCAGCTATGTTCTCGTCGATCCATAGCAAGCGGTCGCCTCGCTGTCCTGTGCTGCCCGGATCTGCAACACGCCGACCGAGCTCTGACGATGTACCCTGGGTCAGCGGCATGTCAGTGGGTTGGCAAATGCAACAGCCGTCTGCGGTCCTGGTGTTGCTTGGGGTGCTGCATGAAGATTCCAGCCGTTATCAAGCTTTGCCATCTGTACCTTCCGGACATATGGACAAGCCAAACAGGTTCACGCGTCTCCAAGACAGCTTGAAATTGCGGCAACTCTCGCCCGCATGTGTCCATTGCAGCTCCACTGAGAGCTCAGTGCGATGCACGCGTCAACCGTTGCTGTGGTCTCAAGACATGCTGCAATCCTTCCACTCCGAAGCCGGGCACCACAAACTCGGAAGCCAAATCCTCATTCAATGCATCATGGACGACAACGTAACCTGCGCGGACAAGGCTGGCTGGCCGCTGACATGCTTGATCGTCTTGACCATGCGGCGTGCCTTCACGCAGGAGATGGGCGATTGCCGGGCCGCCGACTACTCGCTGTGCCTGGAATTGCTCAACCCAGTTTATATATCCTGATGCACGGTCCCGCATGATGCATGCGACGCACTCTCATGTGCCTTCCACGAGACAGCTGGGTATCACATGTGCAGTGGCATGCTGCGGAAAATGGGGGCTCGATTCAACGCTGTCCACTGCCTCAGCAGGTCGAAACTCGGTGGCACATTGACCTCGACTGCATGCGGACTACATGAGTCGACTTAATGGTTACAGAAACGGTCAAAACACATCTCCAGTCTGCGACGTATGCCACTCTCAATCATGTGCAGTCATGCGTGATCATGCGTGTGACCAGATCTGTCAATCTTAGCCGAGCAGCCAAGCATTGCATCCACGATGGAGAGACGAGGGACCTTGATTATATGCTTGCACGGCGAAGACTTTGTCCATTATTCGCTGTCATCCACCTAGAATAGCTCCAACTGCTCATGAGTCGAACGGTATAACTGGAAAACTTACCTTTTGTCCAGAGTTGCCTCTCGCCATGCTTCACCTGCAGTTTGGCGAGCAAACACGGATCTCTGCCGCCGAGGCGTCCTAACATCATATCTCCCGACGAACAAGACAAGCACAGTTCGCTGCAAGCAGCCAAGTTGCCAGCCGCCTCACCATCCCGCAGCTGATTGAAGGCACTTCGAACGCAGCGCACCTCCAAACAGTTCAGACTCGACGACAGGCCAGGTTTTCCAACTAGGTGACTCTGTCACACTTCGGTCATCTGCCTCCGACAAGGCTTTCCTGTGTGCCTGCCAGGCAGAAGCAAATCTAGGTGACTCCACTGACTTGATCAAGGCAATCCAACAGAACTGTAAGTAAAATGAGCACGAAGTCTTGAACCTATGGGTGCCAGCTTGTGGAAGCCCCCTCCTCAACTAGACAGTGACAAGGCAACCATCGAAAACAATATCAAATCCATGAATAAGGCGTGTCAGGCATCCAAGTCCGGCCTCGCGCACGTCGTTTCCAGGTATGCCTGGAGGCAGGGCCTGCAGCCGAGCAACAAGTTTATCTTTGAGCGGCCAAAACCCTACGACAGCATGCCCAAACTGAAAGGATTCGGCAGGGTCGCTAATAGTAGCAAGGCTCTGGGGAATCTCGGGGTAGAAACAAGATGCCTCCAGGAACACGCCAAGGCCAAGGGACTTGCCATCCTGCGTTCAGCCAGAATGAGAAGTCTTAGCAAGTCAGAGTCTAGGCGAGCCAGCACTGTTGCCATGCTTTCCTGCCGCAGCCACTGTTGTCCAAAGTTACCCTCGTCCCGCAAACGCAGCCAGTAGCAGCTCTCCTCCTGTCGCATGTTCTCACTGTCCCATGCAGTATTTGGCTTACACGTCCATCGGCTGGTGTGCAAACAACTTGCAAGAGCCCACTTGGAGTTTATGCGACGTCACACGCACACGCACGCACACGCACACGCACACACGCAGACAGACAGA